AAAAAAAGGAATTGAATGCAACCTCGGAAAAAATATCATGAAAAATACACGTAAACTCTTATCGCAAGCAGTCGTAAGCCAAAAATGATGCTTTGCAAATAAATTACATGCACATCAATTGTGCATGTAATTTATTTGCAAAGAACGTTGTACAATTGAAAGAATGACTTCAAAGAATCATCTGAGCGCATTCAAGGAACATTCGAAGGAACTAGCTCGACACACTTAAACTGTAACTTTCGTAAAGAGGGAGTAACCCTTGAAGTGTGAGAATTTCACAGTTTTAGGTAACTGCATTACTTAAGGCTATTGAGCACATGAATTATTCTCTTGCACTGACCAAACCATCAGCAAGTTCAACTGTTACGATGATATCGTGTTCTTTTATCTTACTGTTTGCTGGTTACGGTACTCCTCACAAAGCAGCTCTTGTATGAGTTCATTTCTCATACTGATCATGCGCAACTTAGCGTCGATATTAGCGATTAAAACTCAGACAGTTCCATCGATTTCAAGCCTCATAGGTGTTAGTTAGCTGCAAGAAACACCAAACATGACGTTTTGATAAAGTTCTCATCTCATAGTTACAGAGCTTTTTGTGGTGGGAATTCTGCGATCTAAACAGAATTTAGTTTTCCTGCGACTGAGTGGCGCCTTGAAAGGTCAGTCAGTAATTGAGCACTGAGAACGTTCACACTTCAGTAGAATGAGAACATAGATGTGGAATGGTAACTGGTATTGGCTTGCTTTATTGACCTTATTCAGTTACAGAACAGTGCATAATCGATCAAAGAATACACTGCTCATTTCATCTGAACCATCAGACAAATTGCTTTAGGGAATGACTTTGAGATGTGTCTTGATTGCTAATCATGTTTCTGTCTGTGCTTCTAATACAACTTTTTTTTGACAATGCAACAAGCGCTATCGTTTGGAACAATTGAAAATTTGAAGTACCAAAAACCACTGTGAATGAAATGCTCCGTTACGATGCGAGCCAAAATCATGCTGCACTCACCACAAATCACTCGCAATGCGTCCTCTAAAATCAATTTCTTCTTCAATCACAATGCTGTTCATAATATTTTTAGAACGTACGAATATTCTGGGTACACGCATAATTTTCGCAAAACTAAACTGAACAAGAGTACATCTCAATATCGAGTTAATTGTATCGTGACATTAGATGATTATTTTTAGTAACACACAGCATCATTATAATTAGAAGTATTCACGACCATGAACTATTTTATACTTCTTTTCAAATCGGTAAATTCAGTGCCTCAAAGATATTTCAGTTCACTGGCTAATTTAACACGTTCCATCTCACTCAACAGATACAATCACAAAACTTAAAGAATAAAAGTGATAATAATGATTTCTCCGAAAGAACAAAGTGAATTAAATGATTACTACACGGATGAATTTGCGAAAAACTGGGAACGATTTCATTTCAGTTTATTTCATTGTTTTCTGAGCTGCTATTTGTAAAGTCGATTAAGTGGATGAACGCTTCTGAATTGCGATTCACTTTCGTGACGTTATCGAATGCAATGGAATGAACACGATCGTATCATGATGATGAATTAAAGCACTTTCGATTATAATTCATCTCTCAAATTCCGATAGATATATTACAACGATTCATTTTGTCTGCGAACATGTCATTATATCATGTAAATCTGCCTGATCTTCACTGATAAATCACAGAAACTGTTGAGTGAGTCCCTCCACGGTGATTGATGTCGAACATTTGAACGAAAATAATTCATTCAATGCGCACAACTATTGCTTAACTATGAACGGGATAATTTTCTCGTTGAGGAAATAATAAATAATCAAAGGGAAATCACATCCCCTCCTTACAAAAAAAAATCATAACATGACCAATAAAATGCTCTTAACAAGCATCGTCTTTTGATGATCTCTGCTATTGTACGCTTGTGTGTTAGGAAAGAAGCTGACTGATGCGTATTTTTCGGAAGTGTTTTTCTGTGTGACAGCACGACGAGTCGACAACACATTCCGTCAAAATTTTAAAGAGACCGTGATTAATGATTCGTCCAGTCAATACTATCAATTCATTCCGCTTGTTCCGTACAATTCGTATAAACTACAAAATGCATTGAAAAATTGTTTTTCTTTGTCGGAATTTCAATCAGACCTATCGAGTATATCGCATCCAATCGCATTTAATTGCAACATTACAATATTGATTACCGCTGTCCCGAAAATGTTTAATGTCTGTTTGAATGACAAGCAAATGCACTGCTTTACGTTCATTCCCCTCCAGTTGGTTCATTGAAATATCATAAAGGGTAAATAAAATGAAAGAACTTTTAACGAGGACCGCTTTAGGAAATGCAATTGCAAGAGAAATAAAACCGCTATGTAATCAGCTGAGTTGGCCGGAAATGAAGTCGCTTTCAATTTCGATAACGATGCAATACTCATCCAAATGCTCGATCATTTTAAACGTCTTCAACTACGAGTCGCTTAATTTCCTATGTAAACTTTTTTATATAAACGAATAGGATGACCGGATAAACTTTATGCTTTCACTTCATGCTTTGGACAGCAGCAAAGTGTTCAGTGAGAAAAAGTCAACATTTTCTAAAAGAAAACTGAATGAATAAATTGCATTTCTCCAGTTCGAAAGCTTGTGCATGATTCGATGAGAACTTAGGCAAAATATAAAAAAAACAAGATTGGAAAGGCGACCTTCTTCTTTGGTTTGTCCTTAAACATGAAACGAATATTTATTTTAGTGTTTGAGAATCTGATGATGTGACGCAAAATCAATTGGTTTTTTTAGAAGAAAGTTATGCTGTGAAATTTGCCCTGCAGAATCGTTCATACGGAGGGAACACGAAATTTTCACCGGTATGATATTAGAACGCGAGAAGGTGTTAATTCTGGAAGAATTCAAATGTGACTGACTCATTCATACAATCTCGAACAGTTTGCATATCGGAGCTCCGATAAACTGATCATGAGCTCATTATGCAAAGTCGTAGAACATTTATCGTTCTTTAGAGATTTCAAGAAATAAGCATGGTTCGAATATCGAAAGAATGAAATGTGCGCTTCGATGAAAGACTACTGTTTGTTGCAGTTCACTCTGCTCATTTATGCAAATTCAATCATTCAGATTATTATCCATATGAAAAGGAGTGTTGGCCTCAATAATATTCAAATTAATGCTCGATGCCAGCTGTTTAATAAGTGAAAAATGACAGATGGAGAGCGACAAAGTGAAATAAACGGCTGAATGAGAGGAAAGGAGAATGAGAGGTAATCGTGGAATATAGAATATGCGACTGACCTTCAGCGAAATGTGGGCACAACTGTCGCACCAGATTACGGTCTTTAGCATCATCAAACGATTTGGCAGATCCGTTATATGGGCAATTCTGATGCATTGAGCCACGACTGCCGCAAACACCACGCATTACACATTGTTTTTTGGCGTGCTTTGGAGTGCTTTTTGCAGTAGCAACAGCAATCGATGCTGATATGAGCAGATAAAATAATAAGGTTGCTTGCGCAGCTGTACTTTCAACGAATAATAACATTAAGGCAATAATTAATCACCGAAACTAATCCGATCAATAAAACTCTGCACTTGTACTCCTTTTTAGGACGTTAATCAGCAAATTTTTACACGTTATCACCAAATACTCACAGGTGACAACAAACAAGCAAGTTGGTGTGATTTTTTCGGTGACGCTTTTGCTTGCTTGAACAAGAGGAATGCTTTTTATCGCACTTGCCAACAACACATGCTGATGATGAACACAGCACAGCACTGCTCTGCCTGCTCTCAATGACTGCTGTCAAATTTGATCGAATATATGAAAGAATCAATGATAACGACGCAAATGATTCATTGGGCAGCTAATAGTGCCAGCCGGCAGTTGTACTGCGATACGTTAGCATAAGAAGTTGTGAGATCAGTCAATTGGTAATTTGTCGACGACGACAAAATATTGAATCTGATGATGTCTCAAGAGGTGACTTTCAACTTGACTCGAATCAGATGAATGAGTGCATGAAAAAACTGAATATGAAGCGTATAAGCCTAAGCGGTGAGTCAAGAACTGAAGATTGAAAATGAATAATCACTGAGAAATAACGAATGCAGCGCGAAGCAATGTGTGAATATTGCGAGAAGAATACAAACAACGAGTAAAAATACCAGCTAGATGTTGAGCTGTTCTTAGTGCTGGTTGCTGGGTTGGTTGGTTATATTTACACTAATAACAGTAGTAATATAATGCGGTCGGTCGGTCGGTCGGTCGCATCCAGCGACGATGTATTATAATAGTGTTGATGTGCTGCTGTGCTGTGTTGTGCGTGTGATGATGGGATAGATAAATGAAAGGAATGAATCGAATAATCTATTATATTATAGCAAAAATACTACTGCTCCTCCAATATCAATCTTGGTAGCAGCCAATGCAGACACGAAGTCAGTCCTATCATCGTCGTCATCATCAGATAACGAAAACGCTTATCGACGATTAATTGATTGATCTGAATGCTGAGAGGATAACATCGAGCGCGATTAATGCTGATGGTGAGTGATCTCGAGGCAGCAGCCAGCGGTAATGATGAAATTAACGATGACGATAATAGAGTAGGCGAAAAAACAGTGTGATGTGATGAATATCTATCAATCTGTTTGGTCTTGAATGAATATCAATTTCTCGAATTAATCATTAATCATTCAATCGCTTCCTCTCATTTCTTCCAATCGAGCAGATATCTTTCGTCTGTCTGCTTGAGCTAAGCAATTATCCACACTTCTCTTTGCAAATTCTTGATGCACCAAACACAGAGTCCTGAATCAAAAACAAACATTCGGTGAAGAACTGAAACGGCTGTATGCTTTGTGGTGTTGGCAACGATGAAACGTATCGATATTCAACGAACCACCAACGATAACCATTCAGTTTTGCGCGCATGTGAATGTGCACTTGCTGAATCGTGCCTATACCTACCTATTTGTACAACATCATTCACTGAAATACATTAATTGTTCGAATGAGTTTCAGTTTACAACTGAATATATGAATATGGAATGTGTAGATAATAGGTTTGCATCAAATGTCCTATTACACATTCAATTGATATGCCAAAGAAAATAGCTGTGAGGAAATGACGGAATAAAATAAACAAACACAAAGCCAGTTTATGTGCGATGTTAACGCGTGATGACGATGATCACATGAAGAATGTGTGCGAATTTATTCATAGTTGCGTATATTATATCATAATATATTCACGTTTACATGTCTCTATGTACATAAATGACATCAGTGTGATTACATTAAAAAAACGTCTGCATGAAACATCTTAGAAACTATTTTGAAAAAAACATTTAGAAAAAACATCTTACAATTAGAAAACATCTGCATGAAATAATTATCATTGCTCATTTTAGATTTAAATTTCTTTTCACTAAATTCATCAAATTTGAAATGTTTTTTTTTTGATAGTGAAACATTCTTTGAAGGT